TTTCGTGTGTCATAGCTCATGCGTTCTGCCATGGGTCCGGGCCCCCGCACTCCGATCACCTAAACCTTTTCCGAGATATTAAATATGACATAAGTAACCATAGTCAATGCCCCGCCATGACCTTTCCTCATTTTTTGGCATCGTACGGCCATAAAGCTGGAATTCCGCATGTTTAATAGATTTTCTTGTGCTATTGCCCATGCCTTCTGCCATGGGCCCGGGCCCTCGAGCCTAGATCGCCTAAAATTTGTCTCGGACATCAAATACGACTTATGAAACCATAGTCACTGCCCAGCCATAAAATTGGAATTCCGCCTGATTCCAAGATGTTTGTGTGCTATAGCCCACGCCTTCCGTCATAAGCTCAGAACCTCGGACCTGGATCGCCTAAAATTTATTTGAGACATCAAATATGACCTAAGGAACAATAATCACCACCCCAACAGGACCGTTCCTCATTTTTAGAATTTTACGGCCATAAAACTGGAATTTTACCAGATTCCCAGATTTTCATGTGCTATACGCCCACGTCTTCTGCCATGGGCCAAGACCCCCGAACTCGGATCGCCTAAATTTTTTTTGAGACATCTAATACGACTTAAGAAACCATAGTCACCACCCTTCCATGACCGTTCCTTGTTATTTGGAATTTTACGGCCATAAAACTGGAATTTATGCCTTCTGCCATGAGCCCGGGCCCAATGACTCGGATCACGTAAAATTTGTCTGAGACATCTAGTACTATCTAAGGAACCATAGTCACCACCCTACCATGACTGTTCCTCGTTGTTTGACATTTTACGGCCATAAAGCTGGAATTTTGCCCGATCCCTAGATTTTAGTATGCTATAGCCCACGCCTTCCGTCATGGGCTTAGAACCTCGGACCCGGATTGCCTAAAATTTATTCGAGACATCAAATATGACCTAAGTAACCATAGTCACCACACCTCTATGACCGTTCCTCGTTTACGACATTGTACGACCTAAGGAACCATAACAACCGCCCCGACATGACCGTTCCTTCCTTTTTGGCATTCTACGGCCATAGAATTGGAATTCCGCTAAATTTCCAGATTTTTGTGTGTTATAGACAACGCCTTATGCCATGGGCCCGGGCTCCCGAACCCGGATCGCCTAAAAGTTATCTGAGACATCCAATTCAAACTAAGGAACCATATTCACCTCCACTCCATGACCGTTCCTTATTTTTTGGTATTTTACGGCCATAAAACTGTAATTCTGCCAGATTCCCAAATTTTCGTGTGCAATAGCCCACACCTTCTGCCATGGGCCTGAGCTCCCGAACCTGTATTGCCTAAAATTTTCCCAGGATATCCAGTACGACCTAAGGAACCATATTCACCGCCTCACCATGATCGTTCCTCAAGTTTTGGTGTTTTACGGTCATAAAACTGGAATTCCGCCTGATTCCTAAATTTTCGTGTGCTATAGCCCACGCCTTCCGTCATGGTCCCGGAACCTCACACCCGGATTGCCTAAAATTTATACGGGACATCCAATAAGACCTAAGGAACCATAGTCACTGCCCCTCCATAACCGTTCCTCATGTTTTGGCGTTTTACGGCAATAAAACTAGAATTCCACCCGATTCCCGTATTTATGTGTGCTATAGCCAATGCCTTCCGCCATGGGCTCGTGCCCCCTAACATGGATCGCCTAACATTTGTTTCAGACATCAAATACAACCTAAGGAACCATAATCACCGTACATCCATGAGCGTTCCTCATTTTTTGGCGTTTTATGGCCATAAACCTGGAATTCTGCCCGATTCCTAGCTTTTAATGTGCTATAGCCCATGCCTTTTGCCATTGACCCCCAAATCTGGATCGCCTAAAATTTGTCCAGGACATCCAATACGACCTAAGAAACCATAGTCACCATCCCGCCATGACCGTCCCTCATTGTTTGGCATTTTACGGCCATAAAACTAGAATTCTGCTTAATTCCCAGATTTTCGTGTGTTATAGCCCACACCTTCTGCCATGGGCCCGGGCCCCCGAACCCGGATCGCCTAAATGTTTTTTGGGACATACAGTATAACATGAGAAATGATATTCACCAACCCGCCATGACCGTTCCTCATTATTTGGCGTTTTACGGCCATAAAACTGGAATTCTGCCTTATTCCCATATTTTTGTGTGCTATAGCCTATACCTTTCGCCATGGGGTCGGCCCCCTGACCCAGATCACATAAAAAATTTTTGGGACATCCAATATGTCCTAAGGAACCATAGTTACAGACCTACCATGACAGTTCCTCATTTTTGTCATTTTACGGCCATAAAACTGAAATTCCGCTTAATTCCCAGATTTTCGTGTGCTATAGCCCACGCCTACTGCCATGGGCCTGGGCCTGATGTTCTGTATAAATGAGGAAGTTTTGATACTAATTACATAGACTTTAAATCATATTTTAAAGGATTATAAGTCATTGCTTATGGAGTTTTGGTGTTGTGCAGGAAACAGATTTGAAGAGCCAAGACCATAAAAAGAGATGACAAAAATCCATGAAAGGTAGAAATGCGGTAGGTCTGCGGCCGCAAAAGTGATGTACGGACCGCAGTCCCATCGCAGAGTGAAGCAGATAATCCCAGTTTCTGAGAGTCAAGTTTGCGATCTATTGTGCGGTCGTATAACTCTTGTGCGGACCGCATATTGATCGTATAATTGCAAAAGGAGTTCCAGTGATGATGAATTTGCGGTACGTTATGTGGTCGCGAAACCAATATGCGGACCACAGAACCAAAATGTGATGGAAATTGGAAAAATGTGTGATCATTTCTACTGTGGAAATGAAGATATGCGAACCGCGAAAGCTTTCTGCGATCCATTTTGCGGTTGCAGATTTGATCTGCATGTTTTGACCATGACTTTTAGACCATTATAAACAGAATGATTAGGGTTTTGTGGAGTATTTGGTCTGCCAGAAAGAGGCTACAATTAGAGCATTGAATGCACCATTATTTTGGAAGCGTTTGAGAGAGAATCCAAGACTTTGTCTACATTTGTAAGCTTTAGGACTTTATGTATTACTTTGTTCTTGTATTTTAGTATGAGTAGCTAATTTTTAATACTAAGGTTGTGAATCCTAATTGGATGTAATGTTAATAGGTGCTTATCATTTAATATATATATATATATATATATATATTAATAGTTGGTCGATTTCTATTCATTTCTCATGCTTCATTTATGGTTGATGGTTGCAAATATTGATTAGTTCCATTTCACTCTATCTTTACTTGGAAAAGTGGGTTAGAGTTTGGTAGAATTGAATAGCAAGAACTCAAGGCTTTAAACCTTGTTTAACAGAATTGATTAGGGATAAGTGGGTTCTACTTGGCATAAATTGGTTGTTCTTATTTGTAACTCTTTTATATTTGGAAAAATCATAAAGAGGAAATACTACCTAATTATTGGAAAATATTGAGTAGTCATTACGGAATCGTTTGCATATCAAAGGACCTTCCATTAGAAACATATAATATTAACACTGGTAGCATTACATTCTATTGATGGAGACACAACCTTGGTTTCTTAATCAAATCATCTTAACAAAATAGCTTTTCAGGACAATTCACCATTACAAAACTCCTTTTAAACTAACGGAGTAGAATTACGGCTTAAGTAACTTTTTCACACCGATTCCCTGTGGGATTCGACCCCAACCTAGTTGGGTTATTATATTTTACATCGACCGCCTTACACCATTTATATAGGTGTAATTTGAGCGTATCAACTTTTGGCGCCATTGCCGAGGAATATGGTTTTGAAATTACTAACTAGAGTGTGCTTTACTTGACGTCTTCTTCTATTCCATCGCACTTTTCTTTTTTTGCTTGGTGTCATTAGGTAAACATGGGCGAGCCGNCTAGGTAAACATGGGCGAGCCAGAAGAAGAGAATGTGTTTGCAGATATAGATGAGTATATTGAGGATACAAATGACATTTTCCCTCCAATAGTTGATGCTGCCACCTTCAAAGTGGAACACAATATAATCCTAATGCTAAAGGCAGAGGGGTTCTTCCGAAATTCCACCGACAATGATCCGACACAAAATCTCAGAAATATTTTGGGTGTGTGTGCAATGCACAAGCAAAATCATGTCTCAGATGATGCCCTAAGGTTGAGGGTATTCAAGTACTCTCTAACTGGAGAGGCAAGACAGTGGATTCAAAATCTACCTCCTAATTCCATCTCGAACTTGTCTGAGATTTCCTAGCAAAATGATTTTCATAAAGAAAGAAGTCTGAGCTCTGGGATAAAATTTTCTTTTTCAAGAAATTACTAGGAGAGAATTTACACGAGGCATGTGATAAATTCAAGCTATATTTGGTGAGGTCGCCGAATAATGGCTTTATGGATAATATTTTGTTGGAGAAGTTTAACATGGGCTTGGATCCTACGAATCAATCCATAACCAAAAATGCAGCGGATGGATCCTTTATGGACAAAACATTTGCAAGGGTCACACAAATCCTCGATAAGATGGCCGAACATAACCAAGCTTGGCACTCGGAAGATACCACAGGTGGAATTGCATATGGTACTCCTTACTTGACAAACATGATTAAGGAGAACCAAGAAAGAGATCAAATAATTTCCGGGCTTTCCACCAATGTCTACGTGTTGACAAAAATGTTCACTGAAATCCAAACATAAAAGGTGAATATTGTGGAAGATGTGCAACCCATATCGAATGAGGAATACGAAGAAGTGAATTATGTCAACAATTTTCAAGGAGGATATCAAAGACAAGCCTACCAAGGTTCAGGACAACAACACCAATGGAGGTCTAACCCACAAGGGGAAGGCAACCAACAGTGGTGAAACGGCCAAAGTAGTTCAAATCAAGGAAATTTGAGTAACAACAACAACAATTTTTCAAATCGGAGTTCAAGCCCCTATGTTCCACCAAAGGGGCAATATTCTAACTCTCCGTATTGGAAAGAAATCTCTTCAAGTGAGTCTAAGATGGAAAATATGCTTGAAAGAGTATTGCAAAATCAAGAGAGATCTGACACTTCAATGAAGAATATGACCGAACTTGTGGGTTCTCACACTGCATCTACTCAAACGTTGGAGATGCAAATGAGGGATCTCTCAAGAGAACAAAATCTGAAGCAAAAGGGCATGCTCTCAAGTGATATAATTGCAAACCCAAAAGGTAATGGTAGTGGTCCAACCTCTCATTGTATAGAAATCACAACCTGAAGCAGGAAACTACTTCAAGGAGAGAATGAACAAGTGGTCGAAGTGGAAGACTCTGAAAAAGAAGTCGAGGCACAAGTTGAGGTGCCAAATGTTGTTGAAGATGAAAGACTCCCAAGAAGGTGAGAACCCAAGAAGTGAACCATGAAGAGGTTAAGGAAATGGTAATATAGGCACCAAAAACTCTAGCACCAATTCCTAGACCTCCTCCTCATTTCCCTCAAAGACTAACTAGAAAGGTTGATGATAGCTAACTCGAGAAGTTCTATGATATGCTAAAGAAATTATCGGTGAACATTCCATTTGTGGAAGCATTTCAAGAGATTTCGGATTTTGCTAAGTACTTGAAGGACCTGATCACTAAAAAGAAAACCACCAAGAATGATGTGGTGAATGTGACTCACCGGGTTAGTTCCATCATTGCAACAACCTCCGTCCAAAAGAAAGAGGACCCGGGAGCCTTCACCATTCCATGCACGAGTGGATTGCATGACTTTGCACTAGACCTTTCTGATAATGGGTCTAGCATCAACTAAATACCCCTTGCTATTTACAAGCAAGCGGGATTAGGTATGATAGGCCTACAAGTATGAGGTTGCAAATGGCCGACCGTTCAATAAAGCGACCGGTGAGAATAGTTGATGATATGCTTGTGAAAGTGGGGTAGTTTCTCCTCCCTGCCGACTTTGTTATTCTCGATTGTGCCATTGATAAAGAGATCCCTATCATCTTGGGGAGACCATTCCTTGCTACCGGGAGGGCACTCATGGACTTGGAATGAAATGTGATCAAGTTCTGAGTTAATGATGAAGAAGTTACCTTTCAAGAAAGTAAGGGTATGAAATTGCCACATGCATATGAGAGTATCTCGGTTATTGATGTTGTTGATGAGGTAGAGGATGCAGTCAAGGTAAATATGGAAGAGGAATTCCTTTGTGAGGCATTGGCGCTATTTTGGTGAATTTTGATGGTGAGGACATGTAAGGATACGTGGAATCCGTGAATGTGTTGGAAGGGCTTGGGTCCTACACTTATACACCAAAGAAGCTTTCTCTTGACTTAGAGAATAGAGTCACTCCTCCTGCTAAGCCTTCAATTATCGATTCGCCACAACTTGAGTTAAAACCACTTCCGCCGTACTTAAGGTATAAATTTCTCTGCTCTAATGAAACTCTACCCATAATTGTTTCGTCTTTGTTGAATGATGTACATGTTAAACACTTATTGGAAACCTTGAGGGAGCACAAACATGCCATTAGTTGGACTATAGCATATATCCGAAGGATTCCAGCCGGAATTTGTGAGCGTAAGAAACAATTGGAGCAAGAGAGAAAACCTAGTGTAGAACATCAAAGAAGGTTAAATCCTTCCATGTAAGAGGTGGTGAAGAAAGAAATCATAAAATGGTTGGATGCCGGGGTTGTATACCCTATTGCCGATAGTCCTTGGGTGTGTCCGGTACAATGTATGCCAAAGAAGGAGGAATGTCCGTGATTCATAATGACAAAAATGAACTCATCCTAGCGAGGATGGTGACTGGGTGGAGAGTTTGCATGGACTACCTGAAGCTCAATAATGCTACTTGCAAAGACCATTTCCATATGCCTTTTATTGATCAAATGCTTGATCGGCTAGCGGAAAAGTCATTTTATTGCTTCTTGGATAGTTACTCAGGCTACGACCTAATCAACATCGCCTTAGAGGACCAAGAGAAGACGACATTCACATGTACATATTGGACCTTTGGTTTTTTGGCGGATCCCATTTGGGCTAGGCAATGCCTCGGCTACTTTTCAATGATGCATGATGTCAATCTTCTCGGACATGGTGGAGGATTTCATAGAGGTATTCATGGATGACTTCTCTGTAGTTGATGATTCCTTTGAGCATTTCCTTGAAAACCTTAGGCAAGTGCTCAAAAGATGTGAGGAAACAAACCGTGTGCTCAATTGGGAGAAATGTCACTTCATGGTGGACAAGGGTATTGTTCTTCGCCACAAAATCTCCAAGAAATGCATAGAGGTTGATCGGGCAAAGATCGAGATCATTTCCAAGCTTCCTCCTCCCTCTTTGGTAAAAGGTGTTCGGATCTTTTTGGGGCATGCTGGTTTTTATAGGCGATTTATCAAGGATTTCTCAAAATTGCAAGTCCCATGTGCAAGCTCCTTGAAAAAGATGCTAAGCTTGAGTTCGATGAGAAGTGCCCGAAAGCATTTGAGGAATTGAAGGCAAGGCTCACCACAACACCTATTATTGTCACACTCGATTGGTCTCTTCCATTTGAACTTATGTGTGACACCAGTGCTGTGGCTATTGGAGTAGTGCTTGGTCAACGGCATAATAAGATTCTTTATCCTGCCTACTATTCAAGAAAGACACTCAATGGCGCACAACTTAATTACATTGTAACTGAGCAAGAACTGCTTGCTATTGTTTATGCTTTCGAAATATTCCGGGCCTACTTGTTGAGATCCAAAGTGATAGTCTACACCGATCATGCTACCCTTCGCTACCCTATGGCAAAGAAGGATGCTAAACCATGATATATTAGGTGGGTTCTTTTGTTACAAGAGTTTGACTTTGAAGTCAAAGATCAGAAAGGAACGGAGAATCAAGTTGCGGATCACTTATCTAGGCTTGAAGAGGCAGGGAGACCAAAAGAAGATCTTGAAATTAATGATTCCTTCCCAGATGAACACTTATTGGCAATATCTAGCACCTCCACTCCTTGGTATGCCAACATTGCTAACTTCTTGGTTAGTGACCTTATCCCCGACGGATTGGAAGCTTATCGAAAGAAAAAGTTCTTGCGGGAGTGTAGTAAATACTGTTGGGAACCCTCTTTGTTCCGGATTTGCGCCGACAACATCATTCGGTGTTGTGTTCCGGAAGATGAGGTAACATCAAGCGTGTCATGACTCCCCAGTTGGGGGTCACCACGGTGGAAATTGTACTGCAGCAAAAGTGCTTGAATGTGGCTATTATTGGCCATCGATCTACCAAGATACAAACCAAATGGTCAAAGTATGTAATCAATGTCAAAGACAAGGGTCAATTTCTAGAAGGCATGAGATGCCTATGAACTTTGTGATGGAGGTTGAGATCTTTGATGTGTGGGGGATAGATTTCATGGTTCCCTTCATAAGCTCATACTACATGACATATATCTTGGTGGCAGTAGATTATGTCTCCATTTGGGTCGAGGCAATTGCCTTGCCGAACAATGAGGCAAGAAGTGTAACCGCCTTCTTAAATAACAACATATTTACTCGGTTTGGAACCCCAAGATCCATCCTTAATGATGGTAGAAAAAACTGGTAATGCAAACTGGACCGACTGGTCAAAGAAGCTAGATGATGCATTGTGGGCCTATCGAACGACATTTAAGACACCCATTGGCACCTCACCTTACCGGTTGGTTTTTGGTAAGGCTTGTCACTTGCCAGTGAAACTTGAACAAAAAGCCATGTGGGCACTGAAAAAATTAAATCTTGACTGGACCGAAGTTGCTAATCTAAGGATGACACAACTCAACGAGATGGAAGAGTTCCATTTCCATGCCTACGAGAATGCAGCCATGTATAAAGAAAGAGTGAAGTTTGTTCATGACAATAAGATTTTGAAGCAGGAATTCAAATCCGATGACTTGGTCTTATTCTTCAACTCATGATTGAAGTTCTTTATGGGTAACCTCAAATCCAAATGGTCAGGCCCGTTCAAAGTTGTGAGTATGTCTTCTTATGGTGCTATTGAATTATAATCCGAGGACGGGACTTGAACTTTCAAAGTAAATGGACAAAGGGTCAAGCATTACCTCGGAACCAATGGAGAAAGGCAACTGGTAGAACAATTCGTACTCAAGGATAATCTTGTACCAATCCCCACCACTGATTATCCAAAATGCGGGCAACATCGTCGTGCCGCGACGTTAAATCAAGCACTTCTTGGTACGTTAAATCAAGCAACCCATGTGTTGGTAACACTCTTTTTGGTTAGATTTTAATTTATTTGTAACTGTTGGACAATTTGATGTGTGTGTTAGAATGCAGGTTACCCAAAATACAAAGAAATAGGATGCAAAGGCAAAGGGAAAATGAAGGAAAGCAACCTGAGCTTATTTGTTGTTCCAAAACATAAGTGACCGCAAAAAGGGTTTGCGGACCGTATAATGGTCGCAGACACAAGCAGAACACAAGTCAAATTGGGCCTTAAAAATGCAGAGAAATTTCAATTACGGCCCGCAGAATCATTCTACGATCGCAGAATGGGTCGCACATCTATTGCACACCACCCAGGTACTAATCCATTGCAAAACACATATGCGGCCGCATATTATGTTATGCGGTGGTCATTTAACCACAAACCCTCAGGTATTAAACCTCAGGCCTTTCTCTCTCTCCTTTCCATCTATCTTCTCTAATTTCACGCACCCAGACACGAAAACAAAATACAAGAGAAAAACACAGAGAAAAATAAACTGAAATTGAAAAGAAAGGCTCACATTGCTCGCACAATTCACACCAAAGTGGTTTGCTCTATCTTCTGACATCTAGTATGTGACTTTACAATATTCCTCTTGCTCATTTGATTTAATGATTGTCGTGTGCTTTCACTCGCCCCATTTTCACATCTCATCCATTTTACCCTTCTGTATCTACCCTACTTCTTGTCTTTTGTACTGGGAATCGAGTTTTGGGGGAAACATGTGTTGTGGGTCAATTAAAATTTGGGGGCTAGAGTTAGGGGTACTGATTTGTGTATGGGGGTTGGTGATTTGTGCCAAATTTCATTAGGTATTGTTAGGCAGACCATGAAATCGACCTGATGTTGAGTGTGTGTAATAGTCTCTCATAATTTGAGCATTAGCTACTTAGTGTTGCATAAATGTTGACTGTGAGTGAGTTTTATATGGAGAAGATCATCGCTGTGGTCAGCATAACTGATTTGTGTTTTGTAGAATTATTTCATGATTGGGTGTGTGGAAACAACTATGATGTTGAGTCTGCGGCCGTAGAATTAGTTTGCAGACCGCATATGGTCGCACACATACGCAGAATCAAGCTGAGTTTAAAGTTCAAAATGCGACCGATCTGCAGTCGCAAACTAGTTCTGCGATCACTTCTGCGGCTTGCATAATTATTTTTGCATCTGATAAGTTATATTCTGCGTTGTGGTTTGCGGTCTGCAGAGTTGTTCTGAGATCACATAAAGGCTCACAGAACACACATACACATACACACACACACACACACACACACACACACACACACACACACACACATATATATATATNCTCACATCACATTAATTGGCAGGAATGGCACCAAAGAAATCTTTAGCAACACGAGTACCCACCACTCGAGGAAAGAGATGGGCTACAGCTATAAGCCCATAATCATAGAAAGCCCAATGCAAACGGCCCGGCACACCCAGAACTTCAACTGATCCTACCTCCCAATCTGAAGAGGAGGCACAACTTGACCTTGTGCCACCAGTTGACCTCCAGGCCGAATCACGCAGAAAGAGTGGTGAGGATCTCAGGTTCAGGATCACCAGCTCTTGGACTTTGTACAAAGATGGATTGGAGAAAGATCCTCGAAGAAAAGCAGCTGAGTTTGAATGGTCTTAAATAATAATACCCCCATGTTCTATAAAACAACCAAAAGAGGGGATGGAAGTTCTTCACTATGGTTCCAGGGGAGTACAACGAGTCACTTGTTAGGGAATTTTATGTTGCACATGCTGCATCTAGGAACTCAGAACAAAAGAGAAACCATAGATACTTGACCTCTGTCTTAGTCCGAGGATTTGAAATACTCTGTGATCCCGACTTAATAAATGATGTATATTTCGAAAAGTGGGAGCCAGACATGGCAAAATTTAATGCAAAAATTGCAAAAAAGGAATCTCAGTGTGCTTGGGTATCTCTGTCATAGCTAAGGGAACTTCACCCTAGATTGCACCGCGCCAGAAGATTTACAAGAGGGATTTAACCCATGAAGGCCGGTATTGGCTAAGTTTTGTCTGTTCTCGTATAATGCCTACGAGAAATGAGACTGACATCAGTATCGAGAAGGCGATCCTCATTTCTTGCATCATGTCGGGTATCAAGATTGATTTGGGAGATCTTATATTCCTTGATATTGGGGTCAGGGCAAACCAAAAAGAAACCTCGCTACGGTTTCCATGCTTAATACATGCTTTCTGTGAAAACGCAACGGTTCCTCCGTTCCCCAAACATGACCGCATAGTAAAAGCTATTCAGGACATTGATATCACTTGGTAAAATGATGCTTCGAAAAAAATGGTCAAAGATCCACCAGAGCAATCACTCACTCTCCCTCCAACCTCGTCCGTTTCAGCAGCACCTGCTGCTTCATCAATGACATACACTTCTTCATCACCAGCCACCTCCATATCCACTCCTAGACTAGCCATTACGATGCAACTTGTCTCATTGCCTGCACTCTCCAAGCTTGGTCTACTGGCACAACATGCAAATGCCAAAGTAGACAAATTGACAAAAGAACTTTCATTGCTCATCTGGCAGGCATTGGCCCCACTCTAAACCTCAGTAAGTAATCTTTAAAAGCAACATCTATCATATGAGAATCAACTCAAGCACTTTGAAGCTCGCCTTGAGAAGGTTGAGCGAGGAGGAGGTTGGACGTGCCTCAACTTAAAAGGGATGCAGCTAAGCTCAAGTGGGATCTGCAAAAGATGCAGACACTGGAGTTTGACTTGACCACCCTTCTTCCGGTGGAAGGGGAGAAGGTCACTGGCACCTCCCACGTACCAAGTCTTGATCTGGATTTCACAAACTTCTCATCCGCTGAGGAGGCACATGGTACTGATATCTCACAAACTCCGAGTTTTGTTGCACACAACAATGATCATTCAGACGAGGAATCTGGAGAGTCTCATAAAGAAACTGATGAGGAGCGGATATTTGAAGAAGGTGATGATCAGAGGGACAACAGAGGCAAATAGGTTGTTGCTGTTATAGAGGAACTGGGTGAGGAAGAGGCAGATATACAGACAACTATCGTACACTCCCTTGCAGATATGGTTGCCGGGGCTACTACCACGACCACACAACCATCAACGGGTGAGGCCAGCAACTCCCAGGTCTAGGATCCGTCTCCGTAACTGGCGGAGCTTCCTACTTTGGTCTCAGACACCATTGTTCAGTCAGAGGATCCACCCACTGCCTCCACAGTGTCAACTCCATGCTCTACGGCCGCCTCAGATATTCCATCCCATCCAGGCACCTAGTGCACCCCAAGAAGCTCCTAACCTTTGCTCTTACCTTTTCAATGCATTGAGGATACTGCATGTATTTAGGTTGGGGTGGGGTAGTCGAATTTTGCAACATGTATATAAACTCTTAGTCCTAATAGTGTAGATTTGTATATAGTAATGAATTCCCCTTGTGTAATAAATTCGTCTTGGTTTTTCCTTTTCTAAGGGTGTAATAGAAGAACCATGGATGTGGCATGAAACGTTTTGACTTGTTTGGTGCTATTGTTCTTAATTCAAGCATGTGATAAGTTTTTGAGGAACAAATCACACCCTTCAATTTTGTAAATAAATAGTCAGTCATTTCTGTGAAATCGAGGCTCGCTATTTGACTTTGTGCTTACATAGAATCTCAAATATCATAAGAGGAAGCCTTGAACTGCTTTGTATTCACTTGAGGGCTAAATTATGCCGATTCGAGCAATTCATGTGTCGTGAGTGGTGAGAATTTGTGTAACTAATGCATATGCTCAACTTGTAATGTCTAGAACTTGCCTGGTTGGTTTCTCAATGCAAATATCAGGTTGATGATTAGGTGGTGAAATGATCTTAGGCTCTCTTTGTGATTGCTAACTAAATTTTGACTACATTGACCTCCCTGGTGCATTTTTGGCTGGTCCCCTTTAGTGAAATTACTTCCTCTTTTGAATAAAATCTCTCCTTGAATGTTATGAATAAGACTTTAAGCCTAAGTTGGGGGTGTTGGTGCAAATTGGGAAACAATAAAAGAAGGTAGTATGTGGAAAAGCTAAGCTTTGTGAGGTTGTGGAGAGTGAAGCGAATGACTAAGCCTATAGCCATCATACCCAAATCAAAAAACTTCACATTCCGTCAAACTATGAAATACTCACTTCCAAAAAAAAATATTTTTGGAGTGGTGAGGGAAAGTGGTAAGGAAAGTAACTAGAGAGCGGTCATGAACTAAAAGGTGGGTTGATAGTAACAATTAGATATCAACAAGAGCATTGTATGCTAGTCGAGAAAGAATATGTGTAGCGTTCAAGGAGGGTACAGTCACTATATTCCCAAACATTCATCCAACCCTTCTAGAAACCTACACTACAACCCTTAAAAAGTCCTTTTTGATCTACAACCAATTATTCCTAAGGTAACAATGAGTTAAAATAAAGGCAAGCATATGGACTAATACTTGTAGCACTTAGCCTTCTTTCTGAGTGCAAGAGTGTTTGATTGTATCCCCTGTACCTATGTGTTGAGTTGGGGATTTTCTTTTATGTGAGCACGCATGAATTTCAAGATTTAGTAGAAGTTAGGCTTCTTGAAGTAGGATACAAGTGCATATCTAGCAATGGGTAGCACTCTGTCATTGCCCTAGAGGCTCGAAGCTCACAAACTGATTATTCGAACTGT